ATTTAAAAAATTGCATGGCAACAAAAACATCAAAAACGAAGTTGAAAACAACCAATGGACTGTAAAAAAAAATCTAACATATATCAGAGTTAAAGGCCCAGTAACTCATCTAACATAAAAGAACTCTTTTAAAAGGGTCTGCTACCGGCTCCGTGGTTCAGCCTGTAATCCCAGCACTTTGGGAGGCCAAGGAGAGTAGATTGCCTGAGCTCATGGGTTTTGAGACCAGTTGGGCAACTTGGTGAGACCTCGTCTCTACAATAAACCAAAACTTAGCCAGGCACGGTAGGTAGTATGTGCCTATAGTTCCGGCTACTCGGAAGACTGAGGTGGAAGGATCGCCGGAGCCCAGCAGGTCGACGTTGGAGTGGCCATGAATATGCCATTGCACTCCAGCCTGGGCAACAAAGTGAGACTCCAATTCAAAAAATAAATAAAAATAAAGGATCTGATAGGCCAGGCACGGTGGCTCAAGCCTGTAATCCCAGCATTTTGGGAGGTCAGGGTGAGAGGATTGCCTGAGTCAAGGGGCTTGAGACCAGCCTGGGTGACTTGGTGAGACCTCGTCTCTACAATAAATCAAAAAATTAGCTGGGCATGGTGGCGTGCACCTGTAGTTCCAGCTACTTGGAAGGCTGAGTCAGAAGGATCGCCTGAGTCCATCAGGTCAAGACTGTGGTGGCTGGGAGCATGCCACTGCACTCCAGCCTAGGTGACAAAGTGAGACTCCAACTCAAAAAATAAATAAATAAATAAAAAGAACCTGATAGAAAACGAGAAAAGACATGAACAAACAATTCATCAAAGAGAAAAAATAGCCTTTAAACATAGGAAATGTTCTAATGTCACTTCTAATTACAGAAATGCAAATTAACATACTATTAAGACATCATTTCTCACTTATCAGACAGTGAAAATTTGAATGCATAACACAGTTTGTTGGGGAGGCTGGAGAGGCAGGCTCCCCAATGGGTCTGGTGGCGGTGCAAGCTGGTGTGAGCCTTCTGGAGGGAGATTGGCAATGCTTAACATGCTTCCCACGTGCTTACCTTTTGACCCAGCAATTCCACTTCTGGATATCTACCCTGAACACATGGCTCCAGCGCTATAAAAATACATATGCACAAGGCCTTTCATTTCAACACTACCAGAAATTGGAAGATAGCAGAAACAACCTAAATGCCTCCTCATAGGAAAATGCTTGAGAAGCTCTGCACAGTGAAGTACTGTATAGCTGTAAAACTCTATGAGGAAGCTCTTTCTACACTGATCAGGAATAATTTCCAGGATACACTGTTAAGTGAAAAAAAAAAAAACACCCAAAGTGAAAAGAAATCATTAATCTACTATCCTTTATGCAAGAAAGAAGAGGATATGAGAAAATGCATACTTCTACTCATTTGTGCAAAAGAAATTCAAGAAGGAAATACCAGAAACTAATGAGATTAGCTACCCACAGGGAACAGGATGGAAGGGATGAGATCAATGGGAATGGGGTCTTAGGGATGAGGGTAACTGGCAGTTCTCTGAACATCCCTTTGAGTAGAGAGCTCTTGCTCTTAGAACCAGTATGACTATCAGTTTTATGTGTCCACTTGGCCAGGATATGGTACCCAGTTGTTCAACCACACTATTTTAGGAGTTGCTGTGGAGGTATTTTGGAGATGAGGTTAACATCTACAATCAGTTGATTTTAAGTAAAGGAGATTATTCTTGGTGATGTGGACAGGGCCTACCTAGTTAATTACAAGGTCTTATTAGCACATTAACATTCCTCCTTGGCCGAGCACGGTGGCTGAAGCCTGTAATCCCAGCACTTTGGGAGGCCAAGGTGACAGGATTGCCTGAGTCCAGGGGTTCGAGACCAGCCTGGGCAACTTGGTGAGGCCTTGTCTCTATAATAAATAAAATAATTAGTCAGGCGTGGTGGTGCATATCTATAGTTCTAGCTATTTGGAAGGCTGAGGCGGAAGGATCACCTGAGAGCCCAGCAGGTCGACGCTGAGGTGGCCATGAGCGTGCCACTGCACTCCAGCCTGGGTGATAAAGTGAGACTCTAACTCAAAAGAAAAAAGAAACCTTGTGATTACAATGAACCTTCCCAGATTATCCAGAATAATCTTCCATCTTAAAGTTATCTGATTAGCATCCCCAGTTCCATCTGCATCCCTAAGTCCCTTTTGCCCTGCAATGTAACAGTCACAGGTTCCAGGGATTAGGACATGGACACCTCTGGGGGCCATTATTCTGTCAACCATAGACCCCTGGGACTGGCAGGCCAAAGCTGACTTGCTAAGATGCTAATGTGATGTGCACTTTTGCCTCTTGGTTCCTAAATTATCTTGATTTTCTTTTTAAATAAAAGAAAATCCCTAGCAACGCTCCCCCCTTCTATTTCCAGCAGTATTACCATGCCTCTCTAATGATGGTAAAACTCTCTGGCCCAAGTGCTAATTATTCCTATTTGCACTCTAGCACCATTAGAAGCCATCTGGGTTCCAGCAACATGGTGCTGTTGCTGCTTTGAGAACGTCATTCGTGCTACCCTGCTGTCTTCTGCTGGCCTCTGGCTCACAATCAATCTACACAAATCAGTGATCACTTACACAAAGTGGGTGGGAAGTGTTTTTCTCCTGGGTCCCTGCTGTGTCTTCTCTGAATCATAATAAAATGCAATCTTTAATTTAAATACAAATTACTCAGCAGAGGCAGAAGGCCAATTAGCCTAAAGAACAGCCTGTTCTGATTTTTAACAACCTCTCCTCCCTCAATTTCTAACTCCTGATTCATTTCTCTGCTTAGCAAATGAGACCCTGAAGCCCAGAAGAGGCCTTGAGTATGGCAAACTGAGGAGACCTTGATGAGGGCGCTGCCAGGTCCCCTAGAATGCCCTGGGCCTGTAGGGGTGGGGTCTCCCTGGTTGACTGTCTTATAAGGGGCCATTGGTGCTGCAGCCAGGGAGCCTTGGCTCTTGCCATTTCACCGTTGATGGTAGCAACTCTCCAGCTTGAATTGAGCAGAGAGGGCTTGGAGTTTGTTTCCTTGTTTTATTTATATATTTATATTTTTGAGTTGGAGTCTCACTCCGTCGCCCAGGTAGGAATGCAATGGCACACTCATGGCCACCGCAGTCTCTACCTGCTGGGCTCAGGAGATCCTTCTGCCTCAGCCTTCCAAGTAGCTGGAAATACAGGTGTGTGCTACCATGCCCAGCTAATTTTTTATTTATTGTAGAGATGAAGTCTCGCCAAGTTGCCCAGGCTGGTCTTGAACCCCTTGACTCAGGCAATATTCTTGCCTCAGTCTCCTAAACTGCTGAGATTACAGGCTTGAGCCACTGTGCCTGGCTGTTTCCCTTGTTTTAAATCCCAGTTTTGCTCATTGCTTTCATACACCCCATGCCTTTCTAATTTTTAAGCCGGGCTTGGTGGCTCAGCCTGTAATCCCGTGCCTTGGGAGGCTGAGTGGATTGCCTGAGGCTGCAGGTTTGAGACCCGCCTGGGCAACTTGGCGAGCCCTCATCTCTACAATAAATCAAAAACATTAGCCGGGTGTGG